CAAATCTTTCATATCACATAAAAAATACACTATTTTAAGTTTTAAAAGGTGAAATACGCCTTTTCATGCGTAGGAATGTGGCATCTATGTAAAAATTGAAGTTTAGGTGTTAGAAATGTTAATCAAAAGAATTGGATCGTATGCATGTAAATCTTCCTATTAAATTTTATTGAACATGAATACTTAAATGCAGTACGAAAATCTCACTCTGCTGAGAAGTGCGGCTTTGCCTGTTAGAGGAAGGACGTGTACGCTGAAGCTCTTTCATCTCATAGCCAAAGATGAAAGAAAGCTTTTCTTTGGCCTCATTGATGATTAGTGTTGGAAGAGATCTTTGGTGATAGCTTTTAGTTATCAATTGGGTTATTTCTTCCCTCTTTATGGGGCATCCATTTCCTTGGTGGGTTCGAAAAAGAACATAACGGATAACTTCGGCAACCAGCTTCTCTTTTTCCTTTAAAAGTATGAGAGGCGGACGACTTATGTAAATTAGCTTGCAGAGGAAATGGAATAAGGACAAGTTAATTAACAAAACCTCTTTAGAAATGTTGATTTGTGATAAATCTTCATAGCTTGCCATTCTGCAATAGTTCATGGTATACATGTGTTAGAGGAGATCCAAAAATGCGACTAAACTACAAAACAATTTTATGATGTATAAAAATGATATAAATTTTTTAAAGGATAATTTTATTAGTTTGCTGTTATAAATGAAAAAAGGAACCCATAGCCACTGCACTCCTCTTATTTAATGCATTAATGTTCTTCCCATGGTCGTAACATCAAGAACAGAGCAACATTTGGAGTCTTCTACGAAAAACAAAGCGGGAATTATATGGCCAGGTTAACATAATGCAGACTGCATATGGGATCACCGAAATTATGGAATAAACTATAAATCCAATACAGACTGCATATGGTTCATCTTATATGCAATTCTTATAAGAATTTTTTTTCCACAAAAAGGTATTTATCCATTTAAAGCATTAACAACTATAAAACCTTTCAAATTTTAGAGAATATAGCTGCATATTTTTATTGATTGGAAGAGAGAAATAAATACATATTATAAGATCCAAATAAAAGAAAGATATAAATTTATAAATAGGCCAACTAGGAAATACATAAATATGGAAACAGAAATAAAG